AGAAATCAGCATGGCTATCAGACAAATCAAGAGTGGCAAAGCAGCAGCACTAGACAGCATTCCAGCAGAGGCACTGAAAGCAGACGTAACGGCAACTGCAAGGATACTCCAGACTCTCTTCAGAAAGATTTGGGATGAGGAACAGGTACCAAAAGACTGGAAAGAAGGACTTCTAGTCAAAATACCAAAGAAAGGCGATCTTAGCAACTGTGACAACTACAGGGGAATCACTCTTCTCTCAATACCAGGAAAAGTCTTCAACAGGGTATTGTTAAACAGGATGAAGGACTCCGTAGACGCACAACTTCGCGACCAACAGGCAGGATTCCGTAAGGATAGATCGTGCACAGACCAAATCGCAACTCTACGGATCATTGTGGAACAATCAATTGAATGGAATTCATCACCCTACATCAACTTCATCGACTACGAAAAAGCATTTGATAGCGTGGACAGAACAACCCTATGGAAGCTTCTTCGACACTACGGTGTGCCTCAGAAGATAGTCAATATCATTTGGAATTCCTATGATGGATTAAACTGCAAAATCGTGCATGGAGGACAGTTGACAAAGTCGTTCGAAGTAAAGACCGGTGTCAGGCAAGGTTGCTTACTCTCACCCTTTCTCTTTCTCCTGGTGATCGACTAGATCATGAAGACGTCAACATCTGAAGGGAAGCACGAGATACAGTGGACAGCTAAGATGCAATTGGATGATCTAGACTTCGCAGATGATCTGGCTCTTCTGTCGCATACGCAACAACAAATGCAGGAGAAGACAACCAGTGTAGCTGCAGTCTCAGCAGCAATAGGTCTCAATATACACAAAGGGAAAAGCAAGATTCTTCGATACAACACAGCATGCACCAATCCAATCACAATTGATGGAGAAGCTTTGGAAGATGTGAAAACCTTTACATATTTGGGCAGTATCATCGATGAACACGGTGGATGTGATGCAGATGTGAAGGCACGGATTGGCAAAGCAAGAGCAGCATATTTACAACTGAAGAATATCTGGAACTCAAAACAATTGGCAACCAACACCAAAGTCAGAATTTTCAATACAAATGTCAAGACAGTTCTACTGTATGGGACGGAAACCTGGAAAACTACGAAATCCATCATCCAAAAGATACAAGTGTTTATTAACAGTTGTCTACGCAAAATACTTCAAATCCGTTGGCCGGACACTATTAGCAACAACCTACTGTGGGAGAGAACAAATCAGATCCCAGTGGAGGAAGAAATCAAGAAGAAGCGCTGGAAGTGTTTAGGACACACATTGAGGAAAGCACCGAACTGCGTCACAAGACAAGCCCTCACATGGAATCCTCAAGGTCGAAGGAGGAGAGGAAGACCAAAGAATACATTACGCCGGGAAGTGGAGATAGATATGAGAAAAATGAACAAGAGTTGGATGGAACTAGAAAAGAAAGCCCAGGACAGAGTGGGTTGGAGAATGCTGGTCGGCGGCCTATGCTCCATTGGGAGTAACAGGCGTAAATAAGTAAGTAAGTAATGATCTCAACTATTGAAAATACATAAGTCATGTATGATTTTTTGCATTTGCAGTTCAATAAATACTGGAAGTATTCAAAAAAAGAGTGGAGATAAAGAAGGTAAAGACTGATCAACTCCATTAAATTTTATGCAAGTGATTTCTAAAAAAACAATTAGCTGGGTTGATAAGTTCTTAACAGAAATAATCTTTACAAATTATCATCACTGACTGTGAACAGATAGATTACAGAAGATAGTAATTAATTAATGAATAACTGAATAAATTATTAAATAATTCATGATGTTATTGATATACAAAATGACAACTGTCAAAGTCAGAATCTTCAATACGAACGTCAAGACAGTCTTACTGTACAGAGCTGAAACTTGGAGAACAACTACAACCATCATCAAAAAGGTACAAGTAGTTATACAAAATTATCTACGAAAAATACTCAATGTCCGTTGGCCGGAAACCATTAGCAACAGCTCACTGTGGAAGAGAACAAACCAGCTTCCAGCTGAAGAGTAAATTATGAAAAGACGTTGGAAGTGGATAGGATATACATTGTGGAAATTATCAAACTGCATCGTGAGGCAAGCGCTAACTTGAAATCCTGAAGTGGAACGAAAAAGCCGAAAACCGAAGAACACACTGCGTCGCGAATTGGAAAAAGACATCAAAAGGATGAGCAGCAACTGGAAACAACTTGGAAGGATTGCCAAGGACAGAGTTCGATGTAGAATGCTGGTGGTCAGCCTGTGCTCCTTCATGAGGAGTAACAGACAAATTGGATTGGAATTAATTGAAGATAACAAGAAAAGTAAGAAAAATGTCCATTGATTCTTCAATTTTTTTTCAGCATATCAATATGAATATTATCAAAGTCAACTTATGATATTTATGTTATTGAAATATAATTATCTAGGTGATGATATATCCACACATACATCATTTAACTTAAGGATAGAATAAAAGTGACATAATTTGAATAAATAAATAATCCAATTTATGTAAGAGATTTATATTAGCTCTGATTAGCGTATTAATACAATACATTTGCATACATTTCTCAATATACAATAACTAAGATAGTGGAAATTTTGAATGAATGTAAAAGTATGATTATAGTTTGTGTTAAACTATCGTGTGACACAGCCGTAGAATATTGGTAAACATATAAATATTGTAAGTAATAGATAGCTTGGAAGCATTATCTCTATATAAGGACAATCGAACAAGATGTGAATAAGCACTGTGCGAAATAACTGGACTATTTCTTAAACGCCTGTTACTTATCCATCTGAAAAGGTGATGTTTGTTACAACAGATTTACAAGAGGATAACATAGAAGTGGTACAATGACTGAAGTAGTCAACTTCAACTATTAGATTACAGATTTAAACCCTATTTCAGTTACTTCAATTTTGACAACGGCGAAAAAATATACCAGCAATTGGGGAGTTACAAGCATGAGGTCTAACAGGTTTACGAAAGTGAATATCTAATAAAGGTTTTTAAAAAGTTACAAAACAAGGGGTGAAAATTTCAGTTATTTGTCTACCGAATATTACGTTTCAACTCATGAAGAAACGTAAGCGCAGACCAGATACAAGTAGATTCTTACAACCATTACGAAGAATAATCTCAAAGTGGAGATATCAGTAGGATAGAACCCTGAGAATTACGGGTTTGTATCAGAATTAAATCAAAACACAATGGTCTATCTTTAACAAAAGAGTGCGCTAGTGAACAAATCAAAATCCTTGAAGATTTTTGTGTAAATTCTACATAAACTGTGATGTATTCACAAATGTATCTTTGTTATTCATGCTGATTAAAACACACACACACACTCTCAACGTTTGCTCGGATTGAGAATGAGCTATGTGAAGTATATCCTAACACAAAGAAAAACCAAAGAGAATTCCATAATGTAGCAAAAATATGACATTGAAGAGTGTTTATTATTATTATGACTGTTAGAACAAGAAAACACAGCACGAAACGAATTACCAAAATCACAAAACATAAGTATAAGAATAAAAACTACAACCACTCGTGAAAGAGTACAGTATAGATAGGAGTCAATCATAATCGAGAAAGCGACTTTTCAGATTTTGAATAAAATTCAAATAAAACCCATGACAATAAGCAACAATTTCTCTGTATACTACTCAAAATGTTCAAAATCACAATGAAAAATTACCGCTAACCACCACAAAACAAAAATGATTGTTAAATGTATCAAATGTTCTGTTCTGTTTCTGTACATTTTATATAACAGGCAGATCAATAGTATCCTTATATCTTATCTCTAAATGCTTAATCCTGATTTATAATCCTAACCTAGTGGCAATATAACTTACAATCAAGATAATTAGATAACACCTCTTGGATATTTGAAGTAAATACGTTCATACATTTGAATACAGAGAATTCCCTCATTACAGAAGATGATGTGGTAGCATTCGTAGCTCTAAAACTATAATCCTTACTCTGAAACTATAACCCTGACAATGCAGGTACTCTGAAGAATTTATTTCGTTCTTATAAAAGTTCGAGGACACAGATTACATATCATTGTTTTTCTGTTGAAAGGGGAAGTACCTTGTAGAGGACATTAAATGATACATTGATTCTATAAAATTCATTTACACTTTGTAATATTGCTGATTTCTTCCTCATACACCGTCCATTTAGAGTTTTTTTTCGGTCAGGTGAAGAAATGACAGAAAGTTCATCGTGCCTGATTTATTCTCGTTCCTACACTATACTCTTGCCCAACTACCTACCTCAAAGTCAGTGAGCTACAACGTAGGACCAGGCACATATATGCATCGATAAATGTCCCCACACGTCATTAGTACAACAAGACGAACACCGAATTCATAAAAGTAGTCACTTCAATTGTAGTAATGTATAAAAAAAGATTGCATATAAGAATATAGTAAAGGAAGAAATAATTAGTTCGTAGAAAGATATAAAGTAATTTTAATCTCACAGATTAAGCGAAGGCGAAGAGTGTATACACCAACGCCATTGCGATCGATTAGGAGCCATGTCACCAAGAGTCTCCAACCATTGGTTATGATAGTCACGCGCACCCCAACCAAGTAGTCTGCACCTAGCAACATGGCTCAAACCAGAAGTTAGTGATTTCATGGACCGTCCCTAACTTTCTTCTATCCGTCTCCAACGCTAGTCAGCATTGCGCACAGTGGTGATCGGTGTTCAATAAACAGGACTATGTCATCTGCATATTCTAAATCGATAAGCGGACCTTCTGATAGATCAATACCCGAAAATTCAGTCGACGAGAGCGTTATTTCCATTAGTAAGTCTATGATGAAGTTAAACGAAAATGGAGAAAGTGGACAGACTTGTCAGACACTACTTGAGGTTGAAAAATCAGATAACATTTCGTTATAAGCTCTGACCCAACTAATAGTAGTGTTCGAGTAAAGAGCCTAAAAACTCAATGTTTAAAACTTACGGTAGAGTAGTTTTATTTTCTATTTGTCCAACTGCATCAATTCCATCAGTGCCAACATTTATTGGATTAATAACTATGGTACAACCTTTTGGTGTGGTAGCATGATTATTTGATGAATCTAATGTATTTGAAATAAACGGTTGTGCATATTCGCGTGACTGTGAATTGATATTTATGTTTTCACCATCAAATGCATTTTTGCAATCCTAGACAAGTCATTTGTTGAAAAAAATCACTATTATAGGATTATAAAAATAAATCAGTTATAAATAGTTAAATCAAGATTAAAATTATTTCTAGAGGATTGGTTAAAATGAATGACTACGAATGATGCGGAGATGTTATTTATCCGTTTCTCAATGTGTGCATAATCAAGCATTTTCAAGAACGTATTTGTTCATTTTGTTGGTGAGTGCTGCATATGAGAGTATAATTTTCTTCAAGGATTTCAATTTCTAATTTATTTGCCTTTTTCATCCAGGAGGTTGAGATGGTCTTTAGTTGCGTATTCATGGAAGATGTATGCGGATAGCTTCGAGTGATGGATATGAAGTCTCTAGTGAAAATTGTGTTCATATACACAATGCTGATACCCATAATGCTATATATTTCACTTTCACGGAAGATTGGAAGGATGATTATCGTTATACAAATGATACTGACACGTGACAAAAGTATAGGCATGTCAACTGCGAAGGCTCATATATCAACTTAAGGTCAGACGGCAGGTAAGAAGCTAAAAACAAGGCAAGTTGTTAGAGGAATTCAGTCAAACACCTAGTTAACGTCTCAGCCTACATATTTTATTCCGGTTCAAAAAAATAATGCCATATGAATACTAAAGATTTGTGTATGTTACAAATCGATTCGGTAATTAAACTTAATTACTCGTTCCATTCTTGTCACGTTCATACTGGATAATATTTACCGTGTGAATCGTATATCCTAATTAAATCAGGACTCAGAACAAAATAGATATATTACGAACATTTGAGAGACTCAGAAATGACAATTTCAAAATACTTTGACATAATCAACAATAACTTTCAAGTGAAGTCACGGAATTGTAAAACTTATATACAAACAAAATAAAATCGATTACACAAATGTCCAAAACAGAAGAGTGTAACGGAGAAACGTGACAGATAATGTATTCAAGCACTTCGAAGTAGATGACCATCCCAACTCATACCTATCTACATTCTTTATGAGTGGTGGCTAGGTGATTAACGCTCTCGACTTTCAACTCCCAAGTGACAAGTTCGAACCCTACTCCACCTACTTCGGTTTGGGTAACCAGGGTTAGTACTACTAAACATCACAAGTGTAGTATAACTGAAAGACAAGTACGCCAGTATAGACGTGGCAATGAGTTTATAATAATAATAAATAGCACATGTTTTTTCCGGTGAAACGTATGATAAGATTGTACCTACGGTCTGGAGGTTAAGGGTTCGCACGAGACCGAAATTCCTGAGATCGAGTCCCGGGTAAGGGATCGTGGATGCGCATTCCTGACGGGCCCTATACTGTCCAGTGCTTCCAGGGTTTTAATGGTGGTCTAACATTGATCGGTTCATGGTCTCAGTAAAAATCCAACAATCTCCCCAACCCTATAGTGGTGAAGAAATTTTCCTTTTCAGTTGATTCCTCGTTAGAGCTTTACACTAATATAGATAGGTTCACAATTCAGGATAAAATCAAATATTAAATAAATGGTGCTTCATCGAGTTAACAATATTTTCTATAAAGCAGTAATCATTAAGATGCTCAACATATGTAGAAGATATAACACATTTAGGATAAGGTTAAGCAATCGGCTAATCATAAAACTCGTTACGCAATAATAAGAACTAATTCATTTCAAAACCAAGCAGTTGAATATGAATGTTTTCCGTTATTTGTAAAGTGAACAATATATAATTAGTAAGACGAGTAAAGCACTAAAACAGAGCGTTTTTTAAGCGGGACTCTTCATTTTGACGTCAATTAGATCGGACGATGTTATCGACGATCTTACTACTTTAGTCGCCCGATATATCTCACTCCGATTGGGTTGTATTAATTTTATTGCACTCATTGATATGAACAGACAATGAGGAAGATGAAACAAAGAGGGAAGAGCGAAGCAGATTAGAGAAGTGAAGAGAGAGAAACGAAGGAGTATGAACCAACTCGTTTTAACCAAGCGTTAATCGATATTTATAGCCGAACAAAAATCAGTTACAGACATGTGATAGTAAGATAGGAAATGAACACACAAACGCTTACATAAAAACAGTCAAGGTTGATAAGTAAATAATTAACAAGGTCAAAACGTGACTCAAGAAGAATGAATAAATTGGCTTGTCCAGAAGCTACAATAAATGATGTATGCTTAACATAGTAGCCGATACTACAGTTTTACTGTTCTCTTTTCCCTTCGAATCAAACAAAAGGATTCTATGGTGTATTTTATAAACCGTATCGCTAGCTCGCAGGCTACATCATATTTAACTGAAATTTTAGGAATAAAGTGTTCTTCGATGATGTCGGTGATTTTACTTTAGGTTCTATTGTGGACGTATATTTTGTTTGGAACTTTTTTGGGTATCAATTTTTACTTAATAAGTTCCATAGAGAGCATGGTTCCATTAGACCATAAAAACAATAAGACGGACATCAACAAAGCACATTTCTTGACTTTGATCTAGTGTGGAATTGTACGTACACACTGTTGAGAAATGTCAAAGTATGATAAGGTAACTGTCCAGAGTGTATTTTGAGTTCCCAGTAATGTTTTAAATATCAGTTTGTGATAGGAAAATAGAAAACAATACCTACTATTGATTTGTCGCTAAGTAGTGTATTATGTCTGTGTTTACTCCTTTAGTGTTGAACGAATTCTATCAGTCAAATTATAATATGGTCATCAGTCTAAATGAATCAACGTTGCGTGCAGTATGTTGAGAAACCATGTTAATTACCTAGTATTTTAAAAACAAAATCAATTTATGTTCACACAAACTGTTTATCTTTTGGCCATCAGTATATGCAAATTTTATAACCACTAATCTATAGCATGAAATATGAATAAAATCGCCCACAAAAAGGAGAGAGAAACAGAGAAACCAAGCAGAAAGATAACAATTCCAACTCCTTATTCACTGTTTTGTATTCTATCTTGATTGTTATTTTGTTATTGTCAATAAAATCAGGATAAATTATAACAGACAATAAAGAGTTATCGAAATCAGAAAATCACAACGGTAAAATTAGTAGTTATTTTTAATGTTGAACAACATTACCACGGCCTACTTTATGAAGTAATTAAATTAAATCAGATAAGTTAACAACACTAAAAGTATTCACCTAAGCTGTAAATCTCTACCTTTGATAATATTCAATGACAAATTCAATGAGTGAACTTCACCAGCAATTTATTATACATATATAAAGATGGCTATGACGGTGATAAGGATAAGATATAAAGGTGGGAAAAGTGACTAGGATAATGAGTGTTGATAAAAAGAACGAAGGGAATAACAGTGACTAACTTCTATGACGAAAGAGACAAGCGTGAACCTATACTGTCGATTACCGTTTTGTTACTGAAATTACTTATACCGATAATAATAGTGGAGTCCTATAAGTTTTGAGTTTAAGGTACTTCTTTGTACTTTTTACTTCCCGATTACAGTCTTTCTTTTTAAACTATCTTCTTCTTTAGCTAGTTCACCACTATTCCCAATACCATTATTTCTTGTTTTTTTTTAGATTGTTGCCAGGTACGACAACTTGGATCGATACAGATTATTGCCAGATTGTAGATTAATTACGAAGGATCAGGGGCTAATAATAAATATAGCTGAGATCAAACACATTTTTCATCATGAAGGGGTGGTCACGATTACATACCGTAAAGACCCGATCAAGCTATATTGGTTGGAACACTTGTTTCTTCAGGAGAGCAATAAAACTAAGAACATTTGCTTAATATCGGTTGATGAACGCATACTGCTGATTGTACAGAAATGTCACTGGGTTACAAAATGTTGTCCCTAGAAATAGTACACTATGCCTTGGGCCCATGGAGTTCCGCCCGCAGTCAGCTCTGAAAAGTATGGAGCTAATGCATCTAAAACTACTCACAAAAACTCATGTATGACCGGTCTCAAACACTTATCTCTTGAGCTCTTAACTCAAACCCAAGTTTGAAAGACCACTACCATTAATCCGGTCTCGTTCCCAGATACCTGCAGGAACGCATCGTTAAGTAGTACAGGCAGCCGGTCTGAGGGCGAAGTCGTATTGTTGAATGTAGAGGGGTGTGATAGAAGTAAGGTGTTTCCCTCGTGCAACCAGTATCTGCAGCGATGTTGCCTTCTCACAAGGAAGGAAGGGGTTAGAAAAGGTCGACCTTACCTTACCTCACGGATTTCCATTTCCGACGGTAAGACCTTTTGAAGAACGGAGCTAACACGTTAAAAACTTCCCACAAAAAGATCATGCGTGCCCGGCCAAAAGCAGTTGTCCCGTATGCTCTGCGGTCACGCTCCCAGGTCGTTAAGACCAACAATAATCCAACTTCCTTTTCAGGTTAATCAGGAAATACCCTTCCACGGCGTGGGCGGTCGGGAGGTGACATCAGCCCTCATACCCATAATAGTACACGAGACCAAGTTCGTTCCAATCAAATCCTTCCTACACCTAATAACTGACTGACCGACAGGCAACCAGGGAGAGATAACCATCTTCTTACCATTAATACTATTTGAGACCACCCTGTTAACAATCAGTTTCCTTCTATTTCTAATATAAATCCTCATATTTTGTGAGAGGAGAGGAGAGGATTTTACAAAAAAATTATCAATATTATTCAGTAGAAGGCAAGAAATAATGAGATTTATTAATCAATCTCACAATAATTTAAGAAACACATAATTGAATCATGCATTTCGTTGTAAACAAGAATGCGTAAATCAGACAAATTTGTGATCAGTTTAAAAGCAACAATTAACAAACAACGCAAAACTACCCGCAGGTTATTTAAAACTACTATTTCATCCTTAAAAATGAATTACAATGAAATAATCAAATAAATAATAAGATAAATCACTTAAGTAAGATAATATATAACATAGCATATGTTCAATTGCCAAGTGAATGGTAAACCGACAAGATATATCATATCTAAAAATAATTAGCGAAACAATGACTCAATAGT